CTGACAGTTAAATACTCTAGAAGTGTAAAACACACACAGTTAGTAACAGTCAACACTTTATATCTGGAGGTTCATTTTAGTTTCTCTCACCTGGGATTGTGAACCAAGGAGAGACAGTGGGGAACACAAAGGGACTAGTTGTCATTGTGATCCAATATGGTGAAGTGCTGCGTTGTGGGATGGTAATATCTTCTGTTGGGACAGCTGCCCCGTCAACAGCAACCTCGCTGTCTGGCAAAGCTTTGTGTGGCAATCTTGGTGCTGCACAAGCAAAAGTAAGTTTTGTTTAAATTTTTGTGGGGGAAAGAAAAGGAAAAAGCACAACAGGTTTTTAATGTTTACAGTGATCCAGTAATTTCAATGTTTTGACTTTTATTTTAACTTTAAGCACCTTTACAGATATCCAAGGTATCATAGGCATCAGAAAAAAAATGATTAGAGTTAGACCAAATGCCAGTCTGAAAAAGTGGAGTTTAAGTAATGGCTCTGGTTCATGTGTCTAGGGCAGAGACAAGCAGAAGGGAATTGACCGCTGATGGAGCAAAGATTTCTGGAGGGGCCAATGAGCATCAAAGGATTTGTGGGAAGGAGAATCACAGTGTTAGTGGATAAAAGTTGAGGGAATGTGTCACAATGATTTATTGTGGACAACAATAAAGGAGCAGTTTTTTCTTCACTTTATCCACAGTCCAGGGGAGAGCTGAAAAATATATTCAAGAGAAAAATATATTCTTCTCGGATGAGCGGTGAAACGTCTTCTAGCAACTTAAAGAAGTCCAGACGCCTTTCTTTGCAAGCTCCTTTGACTACGATGACCTGGATGACTGAGAACCTTCACAGACATATATTCAAGAGTGTTTCACAAACAGAAAGCTAAAGAGAGGCCTTACCAGATGACCTTACATTAACTTTACCTATCTTTTTTTTAAAAATCATATTTGTTTAAAATCTCATTTAAAACACACTTACGCAGTGAGGTACATCCACTGTGTGGTATTTCCAGCCTTGACAATTTGTGGCCGGTGGCCTGTTTTAGAAGGCTGTACCAAACACCAAGGCGATCAGCATCACGAAGAGACTCAAATTCGATAAACACCTGAAACACAAGAAAGAAAATTTATTCTGAACATTTTAGTTTCACGTTCTAAATGTTAAAAATAAGTGCTAAGCACGCGCGGAAAGAGTGAACTAAACACAGCTTTATTGTGGAGTTCACTGGATTCAAAAGTCAGAAATCCTGGCTCAATGATGCACTGGAGCCGTGCTCAACGTGACCCCTGCACTAATGCTCTAATGTGATGAACACTAATGCTTCACAGCAGTCTGTCTTTACTATCTCTATAGTTTTGCAGTTGTGCTTTCCTCAAGATAAGTAGCATCCAAATCCAGACACATTATCTCTTTTTAAGGATGGATTTATGAGGGTTGGTGCATGTCATTTAGTTTGGTGTGTAAGCAGTTAATCTCAATTTTTCTGTACAGTTAAGAATACACTTACACAAGCACATATCTCATTCAGCCTTTCACAAACCTCTAACACATGCATTTGTTGGCATTTATGAGTGTTTATACCTTGTTGAGAAGAGGCAGGTAGTTTCTTATAAAATCCATTTTTTTCAAAGCTTCTCTGAGATCCCGGGACTCGCCTGGTGAGATGTTCCTGATGTAGATTGTTCGTGCTCCATTGTCAGTCACTTGCTGCTTCAAGAAAACCGGGTTAACATGAAAAAAAAAAACAACCCCACAAACAGTATGACATTCCAAACATTCTTAAACTACAGTTCCAAGATCAAGGTCATAAGTTTGCACTTATATTCACACAGCAGGTATGCACCCTGGCAGCTATCTTC